ATAAATAGTGCTTTTGAAATAGTATCTAAGGAATCCTTGCTAAACTTAAGGGCATGAAGATTTTCTCCTGTGTTTTCTTCTAGAAGTTTTATAGTTTTAAGTTTTACATTTAGCATTTAGTTCTATGATTTTTGTTTATTTTTTGGGGGGAGTCTTGCATATGGATGTCCTATGATTTCAGCATTATTTTTTAAAAAGACTATTCTTTCCCCACTGAATTGACTTTACACCTTTGTTGAAAATCAATTGACTATATATATATATATATATATTTAGAACTATTTCACTGTGCCCAGCCTGCAATTTAGTTTTACATTGACAATTCTGTTTCAATGACCTATTTAGATAATTGAAAACTATCCTTTTTCCAGTGAATTGCCTTTGCGCCTTTGTTGAAAATCAACTGACCATATATGTGCAGGTTTATTGCTGGACTTTCTGTTCTGTTTCATGGATCTATTCATTTATTACCTTCAACAATAATACATTGTTTTTATTACTGTAGCTTTATAAGAATTCTTGAATCAAGTAGTAAGTCCTCCCACTTATTCTTCTTCAAAGTTATTTTGGCTATGCTAGCTCCTTTGCATTTCTATATAAATTTTAGAATCAGCTCATTCTACCAAATGAAACCCACCAAGGTTTTGATTGGAACTGTGCTGATTTTGTAGATCAATTTGAGGAGAACTGAAATCTTACTGAGTCTTCTGATCCATGAATATAATATAGCTTTCATTTTGATTTTCTTTAGGTTTTTTTTTTTTTTTTTTTTGAGACACAGTCTTGCTCTGTCTGGGAACTCTGCCTGGGCTGGAGTGCAGTAGTGCAATCTCAGCCCACTACAACCTCTGCCTCCGGGGTTCAAGCAATTCTCCTGCCTCAGCTTCCCAAATTGCTGGGATTACAGGCACCTGCCACCACACCTGGCTAATTTTTGTAATTTTTAGTAGAGACAGGTTTCACCATGTTAGTCAGGCTGGTCTCAAACTGACCTCAAATGATCCCCCTAACTTGGCCTCCCAAAATGCTGGAATTACAGGCATGAGCCACCTTGTCCAGCCCTTTTAGTACTTTTTTAAATGTTGCTTTAGTGTCTTCTGTATCCCATTAACTCCCAACGAGAAGCTTGTTGTCATTTTTATATTTGTTTCTTGCTGCTATTATATTTTCTCTTTATTGCTGGTGGTAAGTAGCCTGATTAAGATGCACTTTGATATGGTGTTCTTCGTGATTCTTGTGCTTTGGGTAAACTGAGCTTGTCGTGTGGGTCTATTATCTATAAGATTGTGCCACTGTACTCCACCCTGGGCAACACAGCAAGACTCCATCTCAAAAAAAAAAAAAAGAAAAGGCCAGCTGGGCACAGTGGTGCATGCTTGTAATCCCAGCACTTTGGGAGGCCGAGGCAGGCAGACCACAAGGTCAAGAAATCCAGACCATCCTGGCCAACATGATGAAACCTCATCTCTACTAAAAATACAAAAATTAGCTGAGCTTGGTGGCATGTGCCTGTAGTCCCAAGTGACTTGGGGGGCTGAGGCAGAATCACTTGAACCCAGGAGGCAGAGGTTGCAGGGAGCCGAGATTGCGCCATTACACTCCAGCTTGGGTAACAAGAGTGAAACTCCATTTCAAAAAAAAAAAAGAAAGAAAAAAGAAAATCGTAACAAAGACAAATTATATTTACTATTCATGACATGAATATTTAAGAATATTTGTTTTATTTTTCACATTTAAATCTTAACTAAAATCTGTTTGGAATTAGTTTTGATGTGTTAAGTATGATTCCAATTTTACCAGTGAATTTTTCCCCCTTGCTCCAGTGCCTGGCAACCACCATTCTACTTTCTGTTTGTATGAATTTGCCTGTTTTAGGTACCTTAATATAAGTGGAATTATATAATGTTTTTTGTTTTTGAGACAGAGTCTTGCTCTGTCGGCCAGGCTAGAATGCAGTGATATAATCTTTGTAATCCCGTCTTCCCAGTTCCCCCCCAGACCCTCACCTCCAACCTCCTACAACAACCACAGATCTGCTTTCTGTCACTGGAATTAGTTTGCTGCTTTTGGAAATTTTTTTTTTTTTTTTTTTTTGAGATGGAGTTTCACTCTGTCACTCAGGCTGGAGTGCCATGGCATGATCTTGACTCAAAGCAACCTCCATCTCCTGGGTTCAAGTGATTCTCCTGCCTCAGCCTCCCGAGTAGCTGGGATTACAGGCATTACCATCACACCTGGCTCATTTTTGTATTTTTAGTAGAGATGGGGGTTTTACCATGTTGGCCAGGCTGGTCTCGAACTCCTGACCTTCAGTGCTCTGCCCACCTTAATTTCCCAAAGTGCTGGGATTACAGACATGAGCCACCACACTCAGCCACAATGTTTATTTTTTATGTCTGGCTTACTTCGCTTTAGCATAACATCTTCAAGATTCATTTCTGTTATAGAATGTGTCAGAATTTACTTTCTTATAAGGCTGAATAACATTCCATTGTATTTATTTATTTATTTATCTATTTATTTAGAGATGGAGTCTCACTCTGTTGCCCAGACTGCAGTGCAGTGGCATGATCTCAGCTCACCGAAACCCTGTTTCCTGGGCTCAAGCAATTCTCCTGCCTCAGCCTCCCGAGTAGCTGGACTACAGGTGCACACCACCATGCTCAGAAAATTTTTGTATTTTTGGTAGATACAAGGTTTCACCATGTTGGCCAGGGTGATCTCGAACTCCTGACCTCAAGTGATCCACCTGCCTCGGCTTCCCAAAGTGCTGGAATTATACAGGCATGAGCCACTGCGCCCAGCCTCCATTGTATTTCTATAACCACATTTTTTGTATCCATTCATTCATTGATGGATTCTTGGGTTGCTTCCATATTTTGGCTATTGTGAATAACACTGCTATGAACATGGATGTACAAGTATCTCTTTGAGATCCTGCTTCCAGTTCTTTGGAATATAGACCCAGAAGTGGAATTGCTGCTGGATCATATGGAACCCTATTTTTTTGAGGAACTTCCATACTGTTTTCCATAGCAGTTGTGCCATCTTACGTGCACACCAAGAGTGCACAGGCAGATTCTTTCTCTCTCTCTCTCGCTCTTTCTCTCTCTCTGTGTGTGTGTGTGTGTGTGTGTGTGTGTGTGTGAGAGAGAGAGAGAAAGAGAGAGAGAGAGAGAGAAGTAGCCATCCTAATGGGTGTGAGATATGGGTGTAAGGACTTCTTGTTTTGTCTGGTTTAACAATTAGCCAGGCAGAGCACAATGGCTCACGGCTATAATCCCAGCATTTTGGGAGGCCGAGGCAAGAGATTAAGATCATCCTGGCCAACACGGTGTAACCCAATCTCTAATAAAAACACAAAAATGTATCTGGGCGTGGTGGTGGGCACCTGTAATCCCAGCTACTGGGAAGACTGAGGCAGGAGAATTGCTTGAACCCGGGAGGTAGAGGTTGCAGTGAGTCAAGATGGAGCCACTGCACTTCAGCCTGGGTGACAGAACGAGACTCCGTGTAAAAAAAAAAAAAAAAAAAAAATAACCCATGAAGGGATGATGGTCACCATCTGGTGGTAGAAGTGAGAATGTTTCCAAACTTTTGACAATTTATAATTTTTATGGAGCACCCCAGGAGGAGTCTGGATGAGGGTAGAGGCAGGGTTTGGCAACACCAGCCAGGCTGTAACTTTTTGAGACTCTCTTCAGTTCAGGGGGTTCCGAAGTGAGTTATTCTCCCCACTCAACTTTGGGAGTGACAAGGCAGAGACTGTGGGCAGAGCTTCCCACACCTATGTTCATAAGGGCTCTAAGAGGTCCCTACCCAGCAGGAATTCCCTCACAGACTCCCCAGAGTCCTTTTTTAGGGAATCCCTGGGACTCCTTTGAGGTAACCTTGTCTTTTCTGGCTTCAGTTGTGGGAAGCACAACTGATATTCTCCCTGGCCTGGAGAATATCAAAGGCTGCTCCCGCTCCAGGGGGCCCTCCCTTGTAGCTTTGCCTTCATCTCAAAAACTGAGAGGCGCCCTGCCCACAATCTCTGGGATCCAGCCTTGCTTTCTGACTTCTCCCTTCCTGGCTGTCCCTGAAACAAGCCCTGAGATCTCTCATATCAAAGAAGTTCATTGCAAAATTCAGCAGGAAACCCAGATTATAGGTAACAATTTAACAGTGGAAGCTCCAGTATCTCTCAGAAATCTGAGGGCTCTTGTTCTTGGTCTACAAACTGCTCCTGATGCCCTTTCTCTCTCAGAAGTTCTGCTGACCTGGCCAGGCATAGTGCCTCATGGCTGTAGTCCCAGCTACTGGGAGGCTATGGTGGGAGGCTCGTTTGAGGCCAGGAGTTCGAAGCTGCAGTGAGCCGTGATCATGCCACTGCACTCCAGCCTGGGCAACAGAGTGAAATCATCTCAAAAAAAAAAAAAGCCAGGCGCACATGGCTCGCGCCTATAATCCCAGCACTATGGGAGACTGAGGCGGGTGGATCACGAGGTCAGGAGATCAAGACCATCCTGGCCAACAGGGTGAAACCCTGTCTCTACTAAAAATACAAAAAACTTAGCTGGGCATGGTGGCACACACCTGTAGTCCTGGCCATTTGGGAGGCTGAGACAGGAGAATCGTTTGAACCCGGGAGGTGGAGGTTGCAGTGAGCCAAGATCACGTCACTGCACTCCAGCCTGGTGACAGAGCAAGACTCCATCTCAAAAAAAAAAAAAGAATTCTACTGACTCTTCTTTTGAATTTCTCAGCCTCAGCCATCTCTCATATAGAGAGAAGTTTGGGTTTCATCAAAAGGCTGTGCATTATATAAACTCTAGAGCAGCACTGGGGACTGGTTTTGTGTCACCAGGACTGATTTCATGGAAGACAATTTTTTCATGGACCAGGGGGCAGGGCAGTAGGGTATGGTTTCAGGATGATTCAGGCACATTACATTTAATGTGCTGTTTATTTCTATTATTATTACATTGTCATTATAATGAAATAATTATACAACTCACCATAACATAGAATCAGTGGGAGCTCCGAACTTGTCTTCCATCAACTAGACAGTTGCATCTGGGGGTGGTGGGGGACAGTGACAGATCATCAGGCATTAGATTCTCATAAGGAGTGTGCAACCTAGATCCCTTACATGTACAGTTCACAATGGGGTTTGCACTGCTATGAGAATCTAATGCCACTGCTGATCTGACAGGAGGTGGAGCTCAGGCAGTCATGAGAACGATGGGGAGTGGCTGTAAATACGGATGAGGCTTCTCTGTGCAACCCAGTTCCTAACAGGCCACAGACCGGACCCATGTTCTAGAGGATGTCTTTCTAGGTTATCTGATCCCAATTCTCTGTAAAGTATGGATAACTGATTGCAATGCAAAAATAATTCTTGTTTATAGATGTGGATATTCTGCCCTGTCGTGTAGAAGTTGCTTTGACTTTCTTCCCCAACCCCGTTTGCTTATATTTGCTCATCCTATTACTAAAATGAACTTCGGTCAGTCTGCCTGAAGCAACAAAGCTAACCACTGACATGAGGATTGCAGCCAGAGAAAGTGGGGCATTTATTATAGGGAGCCAAGCAAAGAGAATCTGGCAGCTCATGCTTAAAACCTGAACTCTCCGATGGCTTACAGACAAGGGTTTTTATTTTTAATTTTGTTTGTTTATTTATTTTTGAGTCAGGGTCTTGCTCTGTCACCCAGGCTGGAGTGCAGTGGTGTGATCTTGGCTCACTGCAACCTCCACCTCCTGGGTTCAAGCAATTCTTCTGCCTCAACCTCCCAAGTAGCTGAGGTTATAGGCATGTATCACCACACTAATTTCTATATTTTTAGTAGAGATGGAGTTTCACCACATTGGCCAGGCTGATCTTAGACTCCTGACCTCAGGTGATCCACCTGCCTCAGCCTCCCAAAGTTCTGGGATTATAGGAGTGAGCCACCACAGCCAGCCAGGCAAGGATTTTTAAAGGCAGAAGTTATAGGCAAAGTTGTAAATCAATACATGCAGGCTATATATTGATTTTACCTAAAAACGCAGGGCATCTCAAAGGGAGGGGGCCACAGGTCATAGGTGTGTTCAAAGATTTTCTCATTTGCAATTGATTCAGGAAGCAAAGCTTTGTCTAAAAATTTGGGGTCAGCAGAAAAGAATGTCAGCTCTGGCTCCTGGGCATGACTTCCTCCAGGCCCCTCAGGAAGAAATTTAGAACAAAGACCAGAAGTCAAAGTTCAGTTCTCAGCTGCCCTTATCTAAAGTCTCTGGGCCAGCAGATCCATTTGGTGGGTGTCCATGTTTCTAAAAAACAACTCGGAGACATAGGTAACAAAACATCTCCTCTCTCTACCCTCCTTGGTGTTTGTTTGTTTGTTTGTTTTTGAGACAGAGGGGTCTTGCTTTGTCACCCAGGCTGAAGTGCAATGGTGTGATCTCGGCTCACTGCAATCACTGCCTCCTGGGTTCAAGTGATTCTCCTGCCTCAGCTTCCTAAGTAGCTGTGATTACAGGTGCCCATCACCACGCCCAGCTAACTTTTTTTGTATTTTTAGTAGAGACGAGGTTTCACCCTGTTGGTCAGTCTGGACTCAAACTCTTGACCTCATGATCCGCCTGCCTCCGCCAAAGTGCTGTGACTACAGGTGTGAGACACTGCACCTGGCCGAGGCCTGATCTTTTATAGTTACAGAGTCCTCTGATGAGAACTGATGGTGGAAGAGTGTGCTTGTTGGTATCTTCATCTGGTTGGATGCAGTTTTTTGTTTGTTTGTTAAGCAAAACATCTTATCCTAGTTGGCAAAGTGCTGTATGAAATATAAAAGGGAGTGTTTTTCTAAGATCGAGTTAGTTTTTTCAAGGGTGCTGTATACAACTTTGAATACTTTTCTGGTGGGTTTCTGTGGGGAAAGCCAAAGTTAGGCAAGATTTCACAGGTTCTCAGGGCCTGAACCTTTTTTAGTATGCATGATTTTAAAAAATAAACTTCTTTCCTCCTACTCTACCCTCTTAGTTCTCAATCAAACAACAAACAATGACTGTGACCTCACCTTGGATAAGGCTTCAAGGACCAGAATGGAGGAGATGGAAGGATATTTGCTATTGTTGTATAAGGATTGTTTTGGTAGCAAATGATGGCAGCCTTCCTTGAATTGGCTTAGACATAAACAAGAAAGTACTGAGGCCAGACGCGGTGGCTCACATCTGTAATACCAGCACTTTGGGAGGCCGAGGCAGGTGGATCATCTGAGGTCGGGAGTTCAAGACCAGCCTGCCAACATGGTGAAATTCTGTCTCTGCTAAAAACTACAAAAATTAGCCATGCCTTGTGGCACATGCCTGTGGTCCCAGCTACTCAGAAGGCTGAGGCTGGAGAATCGCTTGAACCCAGGAAGGGGGAGCTACAGTGAGCCGAGATCACACCACTGCACTCCAGCCTGGGTGAGAAAGTGAGAGTCTGTCTCAAAAAAAAAAAAAAAGTACTGGGAGGTTCCTGCAGGTGTTAAGGGTGTATCCACTTCCTGTTTCTGCTGCAGCAAAATATCACACGTTTGATATTCTCTTACAGATCTGGAGGTGCTAAGGTTTAGCAGTCTGAAATGTGAAATACAGGTTCTTTCTGCAGGTTCTAGGGAAGAAGTTATTTTCTTGCCTTCTTTACCTCCTAGAGGCCGCCTGCATTCCCATGTGGGAGTGGGAAGTGAAAACAGGAATATGGCAGCTCTGACCAAAACAAAAAAAAAAAGTGATTGATAAAGAAGGTGGGCTATGGGGGACATTTTCTCAAAAGAAAGGATTGTTATTCATTGAAGGAGTGAGGGCTTGGGAAGAGAAAACAGGTGTGCACTCAGCTGTGATAGAGAGGCCGACCAGTTACACTGTTTGCAGCAAGATGGGCATTAGGCTTTGCCCCTGGAGCTGTGGAAGTGGAGCAGGAGGGTAGTGAAAAAGTTGTTCTAACCAGTACGGATGTGTAACAAGTTACTCCAAATCTTGTTGACTTAAAATAGCCACTTGGTTTACTCATGATGTTGTGGGCCAGGAATTTGCAAAGGACTGAGCCAGGCAATTCTCACTCAGCATTTCCCTAGCAGCTGCTCAGATGTCATCTGAAGGCCCAACAGGGCTGGACGTCCAAGCTGGCTCACTCACATGGCTGGCTGCTTACATTGGCTGTGGCCTTGTAGCTCAGCTGGGGCTGCCAACCCAGGGCTCTACGTGGCCTCTCCAGCATGGCAGGGTCTCGGAGTAGCTGGGCCTCTTATGCAGTGGCTGGCTTCCCCTTGCCCACTGAGTGGGAGTCTTAAGAGGACAAAGTAGAAGCTGCATAACTTTGCATCCTCAAAAGTTAAGCAGTTTCCTTTCCCCTACATTCCGTGGAGGCAGTAAAATCTCTTGAAGCCAGGCATTTGAGACCAGCTTGGGAAACACAATGAAACCTCATCTCTACAAAAAATTTAAATATTAGCCAGGCATGGTGGTGCATGCCTATACTCCTAGTTACTTGTTCTGCACAGTGCCAAGGAGGGCCCAGGCCGGGTGCTGTGCTTGTGAGCACTTGGATCAAGCTCCATCTGCTCACGGAGAACTCCCTATCCACTGCCAGCAGCTACCAGCACTCCCAGAAAATCCAGTTTCCTACCCAAGTGGAAGAATGAGGAGGTACTAACCTCTAAAGCTTAAAAAGAAGATGGCCCTTTTAGGAGCAGCTCAGGATTGCATCTCCCAGTGAAAGTGCAGAGGGTGAGTGGATGCCGCATTTCGAGATGGATCTTTATTGCCCACAGACCAGGTGATTCCAAGGGGGAGGAGCCCTACAGGTTGCCAGCGCGGCTGTTTTGGCCAGCGCGGCTGTTTTAGCGGCACAGCTATATTGCTGGCGCCACAGTGCAGCGGCTCTCCATACAAAATACACTGGTCTGGTTGCCCTTTTAAGCTGGCCAGGAGATTCCTGGGCAGCACCGTTGTTTCAGCCAGTGCAGTGGGTCGCCACATGGGAAATCACACAGATCCTGGTGCCCTTTCAGCAGGCAACTGGAACACCTAGAAGAGATCAACTGTTCAACTTAAAAAAAAAAAAAAAGGCTGTGAGGCATGGAGCCAGGTGATCAGGCTTGGCGGGTCCCACCCCCACAAAAACAAGCAAAAAAAAAACAGCAATTGAAAACGCTCAGGGTTGAGAGTTTCACGGCAAGCACAGCTGAACCCAGGACGGTGCAGCTCGGTGGGGGAGGGGCGTCTGCCATTATCAAGGCACTCTACTCCTATGAAGGTAGTCCACCATTGCTGAGGCAGCTTGCTGCCAAGGCAACCTGCTGTTGCCGAGGCAACCCGCCACAACAGAGAGAGCCCGCCGTTACAGAGGTAGGCCACCATTGCTGAGGCAGTTCTAACCACACCCATATAAACAGGACTACAGGGAAGCTCAACGGCAGCAGGGCGGAGCTCAGCAAAGCCTCTGCAGGCAGACAGTGACTAGGCTGCCTCCTTGCTGGGCAGGGCAGCCCTGAAAAAAAAAAAAGGCAGCAGCACAACAGACACTCATAAATAAAGCCCTAACTCCCCAGGACAGAGCACCTGGGGAAAAAAAGGCAGTTTATGAGTTCTGCTGCAGCAGACTTAAACGTACCTGCCTAGCAGCTCTGAAAGAACAATGGAGCTCACAGCTCAACACTTGAGCTCCTAAAAAGAACAGACTGTCTCCTCAAGCAGCTCCCTGAACCCCATATATCCAAACAGTCACCTCACAAAAGACTGATCTGACTGACATTTGGCAGGCATCATTCTGGGACAAAGATAGCAGAAGAAAAACTGGTAGCAACCCTTACTGTTCTGCAGCTGCTGCAGGTGATCCCCAGGCAAGCAGGGCCTGGAGTGGACCTCAGCAGTCCTACAGCAGAGGGGCCAGATTGTTAGAAGGAAAACTAAGAAACAAAAATAACTTCATCATCAACAACCTGGACATCCACTCAGAGACCCAATCTGAAAATCAGCAACTACACAGACGACAGGTGGATAAATCCACAAAGATGGGAAGAAACCAGTGCAAAAAGGAGGAAAACACCCGAAACCAGAACACCAGGGATCACAACTCCTCACCAGCAAGGGAACAAAGCTGGATGGACAATGAATGTGATGAAATGACAGAATCAAAATTCAGAAGGTGGGTAATGAGAAACTTCTGTGAGCTAAGAGAACATGTTCTAACTCAATGCAAAGAAACTAAGAACCTTGAAAAAAGATTTGAGAAATGATAACAAAAATGGACAACTTAGAGAGGAATATTAGTGAATTGATGGAGCTGAAAAACATAACATGAGAACTTCACGAAGCATGCACAAGTTTCAACAGCCAAACTGACCAAGCAGAAGAAAGGATATCAGAGGTCGAAGATCAACTCAATGAAATAAAACAAGAAGGCAGGATTAGAGAAAAAAGCACAAAAAGGAATAAACAAGTCTCCAAGAAATGTGGAACTATGTGAAGAGACCTAATCTATGTTTGATAGGTGTACCTGAATGTGATGAAGAGAATGAATCCAAGCTGGAAAATACTCTTCAAGATATTATCCAGGAAAACTTCCCCAACCTAGCAAGGCAGGCCAATATTCAATTCCAGGAAATACAGAGAACACCACAAAGATATTCCTCAAGAAGAGCAACCCCAAGGCACATAATTGTCAGATTCACCAGGGTTGAAATGAAGGAGAAAATGCTAAGGGCAGCCAGAGAGAAAGATCGGATTACCCACAAAGGGAAGCCCATCAGACTCACAGCAGATCTCTCGGCAGAAACCCTACAAGCCAGAAGAGAGTGAGGGCCAATATTCAACATCCTTAAAAAAAAGAACTTTCAACCCAGAATTTCATATCCAGCCAAACTGAGCTTCATAAGTGAAGGAAAAATAAAATCCTTTGCAAACAAGCAAGTACTCAGATTTTGACACCACCAGGCCTGCTTTACAAGAGCTCCTGAAAGAGGCACTACGCATAGAAAGGAACAACCAGTACCAGCCACTCCAAAAACATACCAAATGGTAAAGAGCATCAACAAAATGAAGAATCTGCATCAACGAATGGGCAAAACAGCCAGCTAGCATCAAAATGGCAGGATCAAATTCACACATAACAATATTAACCCTAAATGTAAATGGGCTAAATGCACCAATCAAAAGACACAGACTGGCAAATTGGATAAAAAGCCAAAACCCATCGGTGTGCTGTATCCAGGAAACCTATCTCACATGTAAGGATACACAAAGGCTCAAAATAAAGGGATGGGGGAAATTTACCAAGCAAATGGAGAGCAAAAAAAAGCAGGAGTTGCAATTCTCATCTCTGATAAAATAGACTTTTGTTTTCTTTCTTTTTTTTTTTTTTTTGAGACAGAGTTTCGCTCTTGTTACCCAGGCTGGAGTGCAATGGCTCAATCTCAGCTCACCACAACCTCTGCCTCCTGGGTTCAGGCAATTCTCCTGCCTCAACCTCCTGAGTAGCTGGGATTACAGGCACGTGTCACCATGCCGAGTTAATTTTTTGTATTTTTAGTAGAGACGGGGTTTCACCATGTTGACCAGGATGGTCTTGATCTCTTGACCTCATGATCTACCCACCTTGGCCTCCCAAAGTGCTGGGATTACAGGCATGAGCCACTGCGCCCGGCCCTGATAAAATAGACTTTAAAGCAACAAAGATCAAAAGAGACAAAGAAGGATATTACATAATGGTAAAAGGATCAATACAACAAGAAGAGCTAACAATCCTAAATATATACGGACCCAATACAGGAGCACCCAGATACATGAGGCAAGTTCTTAATGACTTACAAAGAGACTTAGACTCCTACACAATAATAGTGGGAGACTTTAACACTCCACTGTCAATATTACACAGATCAACCAGACAGAAAATTAACAAGGATATCCAGGACCTGAACTCAGACCTGGAACAAGCAAACCTGATAGACATTTACAGAACTCTCCACCCCAAAACCACAGAATATACATTCTTCTCAGTACCACATCACACCTACTCTATAATTGACCACATAATTGGAAGTAAATCATTCCTCAGCAAATGCAAAAGAACAGAAATTATAACAAACAGTCTCTCAGACCACAGTGCAATCAAGTTAGAACTCAGAATTCAGAAACTAACTCGGAACCGCACAGCTTCATGGAAACTGAACAACTGGCTCTTGAAGGTTAACTGGATAAACAATGAAATGAAGGCAGAAATAAAGAAGTTCTTCAAAACCAATGAAAACGAAGACACAACATACCAAAATCTCTGGGACACATTTAAAGCAGTCTCCAGAGGAAAATATATAGCAATAAGTGCCCACATAAGAAGAGTGGAGAGATCCAAAATTGACACCCTATCGTCAAAATTGAAAGAGCTAGAGGAGCAAGATAAAAAAAAAAAAACTCAAAACCTAGCAGAAGACAAGAAATAACTAAGATCAAAGCAGAACTGAAGGAGATAGAGACACAAAAAAACCCTTCAAAAAAATCAATAAACACATGCACACGAATGTTCATTGCAGCACTGTTTACAATAGCAAAGACCTGGAATCAACCCAAATGCCCACTGATGATAGACTGGATTGGGAAAATGTGGCACATATACACCATGGAATATTATGCAGCAATCAGAAATGATGAGTTAGTGTCGTTTGTAGGGACGTGGATGAATCTGGAGAACATCATTCTCAGCAAACTGACACAAGAACAGAAAACGAAATACCACATATTCTCACTCATAGGCAGGTGACGAAAAATAAGAACACATGGACACACGGAGGGGAGTACTAAAATGGACACACAGAGGGGAGTACTAAACACTGGGGTCTATTGGGGGGGAAAGGGGAGGGCCAGCGGTGGGGGGGGGGAGCTGAGGAGGGATAGCCTGGGGAGAAATGCCAAATGTGGGTGAAAGGGAGAAAGGAAGCAAAACACACTGCCATGTGTGTACCTATGCAACTGTCTTGCATGTTCTGCACATGTACCCCAAAACCTAAAATGCAATAAAAAATTTAAAAAAAAATCAATAAATCCAGGAGCTGGCTTTTCGAAAAGATCAACAAAATAGACAGACCACTAGCCAGATTAATTTAAAAAAAAAAAAAAAAAAAAAAAAACAGAGAATAACCAAATAGATGCAATAAAAAACGATAAAGGGGAAATCACCACAGATTCCACAGAAATTCAAACCATCATCGGAGAATATTACAAACAACTCTATGCACATAAACTAGTAAACCTGGAAGAAATGGATAAATTCCTGGACACTTGCATCCTCCCAAGCCTAAACCAGGAGGAAGCCAAAACTATGAATAGACCAATAACAAGGTCTGAAGTCGAGGCAGCAATTAAGAGCCTACCACACAAAAAAAGCCTGGGTCCAGATGGGTTCACAGCCGAATTCTACCAGACACTCAAAGAGGAGCTGGTACCACTCCTTCTGAAACTATTCCAAATAATCCAAAAAGAGGGAATCCTTCCCAAATCATTTTATGAGACCAACATCATCCTGATACCAAAACCCGGCAGAGACTCAACAAGAAAAGAAAACTTCAGGCCAGTATCCATGATGAACATAGACGCAAAAATCTTCAATAAAATACTGGCAAGCCGATTGCAACAGCACATCAAAAAGCTTATCCACCATGATCAAGTAGGATTCATTCCGGGGATGCAAGGCTGGTTCAACATACACAAGTCTATAAACGTAATTCACCACATCAACAGAACCAAAACAAAAACCACATGATTATCTCAATGGATGCAGAGAAGACCTTTGACAAAATTCAACAGCCCTTTATGCTAAAAACCCTCAATAAACTCGGTATTGACAGAACGTACCTCAAAATAATAAAAGCTACTTGCGACAAACCAACAACCAACATCATACTGAATGGGCAAAAACTGGAAGCATTCCCTTTGAAATTTGGCACTAGACAAGGATGCCCTCTCTCACCACTCCTATTCAATATAGTACTGGAACTTCTAGCCAGAGCAATCAGGCAAGAAAAAGAAATAAAGGGTATTCAAATAGGAAAGAAGGAAGACAAACTGTCTCTATTTGCAGATGACATAATAGTATATCTAGAAGACCCCAGCATCTCAGCCCAAAATCTCCTGAAACTGATCAGCAACTTTAGCAAAGTCTCAGGATACAAGATCAATGTGCAAAAAATCACAAGCATTCCTATACACCAATAACAGACTTAAAGAGAGCCAAATCAAGAACGAACTGCCATTCACAATTGCTACAAAGAGAATAAAATACCTAGGAATACAACTAACAAGGAATGTATAGGACCTCTTCAAGGAGAACTACGAACCACTGCTCAACGAAATAAGAGAGGACACAAACAGATGGAAAAACATTCCATGTTCATGGTTAGGAAGAATCAATATCGTGAACATGGCCATACTGCCCAAAGTAATTTACAGATTCAATGCTATCCCCATCAAGCTACCAATGACCTTCTTCACAGAACTGGAAAAAGCCAACTTAAACTTCATATGGAACCAAAAGAGAGCCCGCATAGCCAAGTCAATTCTAAGTAAAAAGAACACAGTGGGAGGCATCACACTACTAGACTTCAAACTATACTACAAGGCTACAATAATCAAAACAGCATGGTACTGGTACCAAAACAGAGATATAGACCAATGGAACAGAACAGAGGCATTGGAGGCAACACAACATATCTACAACCATACAATCTTGGATAAACCTGACAAAAACAAGCAATGGGGAAAGGATTCCCCATTTAATAAATGGTGTTGGGAAAACTGGCTAGCTATGTGCAGAAAGCAGAAACTGGACCCCTTCCTGACACCTTACACTAAAATTAACTCCAGATGGATTAAAGACTTAAACATAAGATCTAACACCATAAAAACCCTAGAAGACAATCTAGGCAAAACCATTCAGGACATAGGGGTAGGCAAGGACTTCATGACCAAAACACCAAAAGCCAAAATAGACAAATGGGACCTAATCAAACTCCACAGCTTCTGCACGGCAAAAAAAAAAAAAAAAAAAAAAAAAAAAAAACAGTCATTAGAGTGAATCAGCAACCAACAGAATGGGAAAAAATTTTTGCAGTTTACCCATCTGACAAAGGGCTGATATCCAGAATCTACAAAGAACTAAAACAAATTTACAAGAAAAAAAACAAACAAGCCCATTCAAAAGTGGGCAAACGATATGAACAGACACTTTACAAAAGAAGACATACATGAGGCCAACAAACATATGAAAAAATGCTCATCATCACTGGTCATTAGAGAAATGCAAATCAAAACTACATTGAGAGACCATCTCATGCCAATTAGAATGGCGATCATTAAAAAATCTGGAGACAACGGATGCTGGAGAGGATGTGGTGAAATAGGAACACTTTTACACTGCTGGTGGGAGTGTAAATTAGTTCAACCATTGTGGAAGACAGTGTGGCGATTCCTCAAGGACCTAGAAATAGAAATTCCATGTGACCTAGCAATCCCATTACTGGGTATATATCCAAAGGATTATAAATCGTTCTACTATAAGGACACATGCACACGAATGTCATTGCAGCACTGTTTACAATAGCAAAGACCTGGAAGCAACCCAAATGCCCATCGATGATAGACTGGATTGGGAAAATGTGGCACATATACACATGGAATATTATGCAGCAATCAAAAATGATGAGTTCGTGTCCTTTGTAGGGACATGGATGAACCTGGAGATCATCATTCTCAGCAAACTGACACAAGAACAGAAAATGAAATACCACATGTTCTCACTCATAGGCGGGTGTTGAACAATGAGGACACATGGACACAGGGAGGGGAGAACTACACACTGGGGTCTGTTAGGGGGAATAGGGGAGGGACAGCGGGGGTGGGGAGTTGGGGAGAGATAGCATGGGGAGAAATGCCAGATATAGGTGAAGGGGAGGAAGGCAGCAAATCACACTGCCATGTGTGTACCTATGCAACTATCTTGCATGTTCTTCACGTGTACCCCAAAACCTAAAATGCAATTAAAAAAATAGAGCTGAAAAAAATGACTTAGATTTGTCCCTGTTTATTCTCCTTAAGAAATACATTTATAGGCCAGGTGAGGTAGTTCACACCTGTAATCCCAGCACTTTGGGAGGCCTAGGCAGGAGGATCGATTGAGACCAGCCTAGGAGACATGGCAAAACCCTATCTCTACAGAAAACACACACACACACATACACACGCCTGATGTGGTGGTGCATGCCTGTGGTCTCAGCTACTCAGGAGGCTGAGGATCGCTTGAGCCCAGGAGTTTGAGGCTGCACTGGGCCATGATTACATCACTGCACTCCAGCCTGAGTGACAGGGTAAGACTGTCTCAAAAATAGATGAATAAATAAATAAATAGCCAGGCCACAGAAAATAATTATTACAACTGGTAAATCACAAGAGTTATGGTTGATGTGGCTCCCAGTCATTTGAACGGTAGTGGGGCTAGTGGACTTATGTTTGGGAATGAAGAGGAGAGAAGGTTCAAGGGTGAGAGCTGAAATCATTACTGTCTCTGCATCCCTGTCCCGGGAGAAAATACAATGCCCAGCCTTTATCAGCTCCTCAACACTACCTGCATTTCTTGGCTGGAGACCCCTTCTTCAGATCTCCCCAGTCTCTTGCCTCTGCCAGCACATCCCCTGCCACTGACCCTGACTCTTCTGCATCCCTCTCAGAAGGACCCTGTGATTCCATGAGGTCCACATGGATAATCCAGCATGACTTCCCCACTTCAAAATCCTTAGTCATATCTGCAAAGTCCCTTTCACCATATAAAATAACATATTCATGAGTTCTGGGGATTAGGGGCCCAATGCTCTTAGTACCTTTCATGGGAATTTTTACCTCCAGAAATGGGGAGAAGTGGCCAGGGACTCCCTTCATACACAAGAGATGGCTGCCCCCTGTCACACCCCCAAATACTTACACACTTGCCTTTTTCCATCTGAGCTGGAAAGGCCCCACATCAATGACATGGAGGCTGAGATCAGGAAAGGCAGAGGAGCTGCAGCACCTACTTGGCTATTACAGAGGACAAAAAAAGCAGCCAGGGTTGCTTAGTGATGACTTCCGGTTCCACCTGAATGCTTTGGCCTCACATGCTGCTCTCAGAGCTCTTTAAAGATGAGTTCTTGTTTTTGTGATTTACAAACATACCTGGATATCCTGAAACATTAAAAAGAAGAAAATTTAAATATCTGAACATCCCACCAACTCACTGTTTTTTGTTTTGTTTTGTTTTGTTTTTTGAGACGAAGTCTGGAGATGTCACCCAAGCTGGAGTCCAGTGGTGCGATCTTGGCTCAATGCAACCTCCGCCATGTTCTCCTGTCTCAGCCTCCTGAGTAGCTGGGACTACAGGTGCACACCACCATGCCCAGCTAATTTTTTGTATTTTTAGTAGAAACAGGGTTTCACCATGTTAGTCAGCATGGTTTTGATCTCCTGACCTTGTGATCCGCCTGCCTCACCCTCAAAGTGCTGGGATTACAGGTGTGAGCCACTGCACCTAGCTGCAACTTTCCTGACATAGATTTAAGAATATACATTTATAAACCATTATGCACGGTGTTTTATGATCTGCTCCATTCACTCAATAATATGTTGTGATTATCTTTCTATGGCAATCAATATAGGATTACATCTCCAATTTTTGGTTCCATTGTATTGTATCAAATAACATATTTAGCTAGTATACAATGCACTACTAAGTTACTTCTAATTTTTCACTATTATAAACAAGACTACCCTAAACCTCTTTGCTATTTGTCTAGGTATCTCCTTAGGGTACATTTCTAAAACTTGGGGTGATGAGTCAAAAGTACATTCGTTCTACATTTGGATACTCTTATGGGTTAAATTGTTTCTTCCCCCAAAAGAAGTTGAAGTTGTAATACCTAGCAATTGTAAATGTGACCTTATTTGGAAACAGAGTCTTTGCAGGTGATCAATTTAGGATGAGTCCAATAATCCAATATGACCGGGGTCCTTTTATAAAGGAGAAGTGTGAACACAGACACAGACATGCAGGGAGGGAAGACAATGTGAAGACAGTCACACAATGACAGAGGCAGATATTGGGTGAATGCAGCTGTAAGCCAAGGGTTGCCGGCCATCACCAGAAGCTGGGAAGAGGCAAGGAAGAATTTTATCCAGAGTCTCAGAGAGAACATAGTTCTGCTGACACCTCAGTTTCAGATTTCAATCAGATTTCAAGCTTCCAGGACTGTGAGACAAAAATTTGCTCTTTTTTTTTTTTTTTTTTTTTTTTTGAGACAGAGTCTCACTCTGTCATCCAGGCTGGAGTGCAGTGGCACCATCTTGGTTCACTGCAGCCTCTACCTCCTGGTTCAAGCAATTCTCCTGCCTCAGACTCCTGAGTAGCTGGGATTGCAGGCACCAGCCACCATACCTGGGTAATTTTTGTATTTTCAGTAGTGACGGGGTTTCACCATATTAGTCAGGCTGGTCTCGAACTTCTGACCTCAAGTAATCCACCCGGCTTGGCCTCCCAAAGTGCTGGGATTATAGGCGTCAGCCACTGCACCCAGCCAATACAATAATTTTGTTTGTTTTAAGCCACCCAGATTGTGATAGTTTGTTATAGCATCCTTAGCAAACAGATACAATTACACAATGCCAAACTACCCCCTAGAAGGACTATGTCAGCTTAAAATCTCACCACAATAAACTCTTTATCTTATATTTTTATACTGGTGATGTGTAATAACTTTTCATATGTTTTCTGTGATAGTTAATGATGAGTGATGGCTGTGCAAGATCATACCATTGCATTCCAGCTTGGGTAACAAGAGCGAAATTCCATCTCAAAAAAAAAATTAAATAAACTTTATTTTATTTTATTCATTTATTTTTTGAGGTGGAGTCACACTCTGTTGCTCAGGCTGGAGTGCAATGGCGCAGTTTCAGCTCACTGCAACCTCCACCTCCCAGGTTCAAGTGATTTTCCTGCCTCAGCCTCCCAAAGTGGGATTACAGGCATGTGCCATCACGCCTAGCTAATTTTGCATTTTTAGCAGAGATGGGGTTTCTCCATGTTGGTGAGGCTGGTCTCAAACTCTCGACTTCAGGTGATGGTACCTGCCTCAGCCTCCTAAAGTGTTGGGATTATAGGTGTGAGCCACTGTGTCCGGGCAAAAAAACAAAGAACAACAACAAAAAACCTGTAATAAAACCTATTAATGTGCTATTTTATAGTTTCCCTTTCTTCAGTTTTTTTTCTCATGATGGGGATTAATTGACACTTGTGAGTGGCACAAAGGATAACATCCTCATTTTACACATGACTTGGATGACTGAGTGAGAAGAAACAAAACAGCAAAAGCTGAGTGCCACCTGGATGTTGACAAAAATTGAGTCATGGAATGAAGAGTGGACTAGAATCCTTTCTGAGTGTCCTCTAGCCTGATGGTCTCTGCCGCTTTAAGAGGTGAACATCTTGTGTGTCCAGCCATCCCTCTTGGGAGGTCAGTGGGGACCAGAATCCTGAGAAGGAGAAAGCACCACGGATGACCACTAGAGGGTGCGCTTCATTCCCCTGGACGTGCTCTGGTCCAACTGCTCTGGTCCAATCTAGGCACCAGAAATACATAGTTGGTCTTTGTCCCCATTTCCTGTCATACAACTCTTAAAATCCTTAGAATCCGGCCAGGCACGGTGGCTCACGCCTATAATCCCAGCACTTTGGAAGGCCAAGGTGCGTGGATCACCTGAATCTAGGAATCTGAGACCAGCCTGGCCAACATGGTGAAATCCCACCTCTACTAAAAATACAAAAAATCAGCCAGAAGTGGTGGCACCTGCCTGTAATCCCAGCTACTTGGGAGGGTGAGGCAGGAGAACAGATTGAACTGGAGGTGGAGGCTGCGGTGAGCCAAGATCATGCCACTGAACTCCAGTCTGGATGACAGAGTAAGATCCTGTCTCAAAAAAAAAAAATCCTTAGAATCTTCAGAGTGATATATTTTTGTAAGCTAATGAGTTGACTTATGGCTGGCAGCTCATATTAGGCTTCAGGATGGGCACTGATCACTGAAGAGACCCAGAAAGGATTAGAGAAATTGGCACATTTAGCTCCACCTCCCAGGAGGTGAAAGAGGCTGAAAATTAAACCTGATCACCAATGGTCGATGGTCTTGTCAATCAAGCCTACATAATGAAGCCTCCATACAAACCACAAAGGACAGAGTTTAGAGAGTTTCTGGGTAGCCCACCATGTGGAGGTTCCTGCAAGGCTGTGCATCCTTGGAGGACATGGAAGCTCTGTGCCTCTTCTTCCATACCTTTCCCTGTGCAACCCTTCATCTGTAGCCTTTGTAATATCCTTTATAATAAACTGGTAAGCATAAATGTTTCCCTGAGTTCAGTGAGCCACTCTAGAAAATTAATCAACCCAAAGGAGGAAGTCATGGGAACCCCAGTTTGTAGCCAGTAGGTCAGAAGCATGGATAAAATATCCTGGTGCTTATGATTGATGTCAGAAGTGACAGGAAGTCTTGTGGTACTGAGCCCTCAATCTGTGTGATCTGATGCTATCTCCACGTTGGTAGTGCTGAAACTGAATTGGAGAACACCTGTAAGGTGTTGAATGCAGAAGTGATTGCTTGTTTGTTGGTAGGGATACATTTCCACACATTTCATAGAAGTCTTCTGTGTTGATGGTGGTATGAGATCAGAGGAAAAGCAGTTTATGTTTTGTCCACTCTGATGGTACTTGAGAAGGTGTTCAGTCCTCCAGGAGTTTTCCAGCTGGGAGATCAGATAATAACAGTAAATATGAAGAAGGCAGAGAGAGCCAGACGGTGGAAGAGGAGTTTCCTACTATTTTATCTCCTCCACAGTGCGCTGGTTTTCACAACCATGGGAGTCCAGGGAAGAAGTTCTAGAACACCATTGGAGCAAAAAATCTAAACATAGGAAGATTGAAGAGAATAAAAAGAACAGTTTCTCTTTACCTGCATCACCCCTCCCCATAGGCAGTATAGCTAGCTCTGTGACAAGACAGACCTCCTCAGCCCACAGTAACTCCCACAGGGAAATGGAAGAGTATGAGTGAACACTTGATTTCCCCAGCTGTGAAGGATGCTTCCCAAGAGTCCTACCTCTTTCTCATTCCACCCAGAATACTGAAGGGATCCACATGAACAAGTAGCTGGGAGAATGTGGGAGGAAGGAAGAGAGGCAGGAGACTCACAGGAATCCGAGTGTAAAACTCAACAAAGGGCCACATATCTTACTAGCTGCTTCACAGACTCCATCAGGGGCCTGTCCATAAACTGCTTGGGATGCCTTACCTGCAGACTCCCAAACTGGCCCATGGACACCCCAAATACTCTATGTGCTTCACCCCTCTCAGTACCCCATGGCTGGACCCCTACAGGTGTACCCTGGACAGCAAGTGTGGGGCTTTACAGATGGTTTGCAAATACATGCATTTAACAGGTTTGACACTGCGTGATTGGGAGAAGGCACACAAATCAGCATTTCAGGACACTGCCCCATGGAAAACAAATGGGAGACTCTCCATGCTTGGCCTGGCTTTGCAGTATCAATAGAAGGCATATCATCTTAGGAATACCCAAGAGAGAACGAGAGGAGTGGAGTAGGTGCATCCATAGTAAAAGTCCAAGATAGCCTCAAAATCCCTAGCCTGGCTAACTAGTGAAGGTGTTTTCCTCCCAAAGCCAGTTACTAAAGACAGGAAGAAGTGACTGTTTCAAATAAATACAAAGACAGTAATGTAAGACTTCAAGCAATATGCAAACCAAGGAGGCATGATACCCTGAAAGGAATACAATGATTTTACAGTAACCAACCCCAAAGAAGTAGAGATCTAAAAATTTCCTGACAAGAAATTCAAAATAATTGTTTTAAGGGAACACAGCAAGCTACAGCAGAACACAGACAACTCAACAAAAATTAGGAAACCAATACATCTCCTTAAAAAAGGAGATGTTCAACAAAGAGATAAAATTTTTCTAAAATTCTGAGCTGAAGATACAATAAATGAAGTGAAAAATGCAGTATAGAGCTAAACAGCAGACCTGATCAGGCAGAAAAAAAAAGAATTTGCAAACTAGAATATAGATTATTAGAAGTTATCCAGTCAGAAGAAAAAAAAACAAATAAAAATTTAAAAAACAAGGGATTTATGGTACACAATCAATAGAAATAATATACAGATTAGGTAAGCTATAGAAGGAGAAGAAAGTCAAAAGGAGAAGAAAGTTTATTTAAAGAAATAATGACGGAGTGGCCAGGTGCAGTGGCTCAAGTCTGTAATCCCATCATTTTGGGAGGCCAAGGCAGGTGGATCACCTGAGGTCAGGAGTTCGAGACCAGCCTGATCAACATGGATAAACCCCATCTCTACTAAAAATACAAAATTAGCAGGGTGTGGTGGTACACACCTGTAATTCCAGCTACTCAGGAGGCTGAGGCAGGAAAATCGCTTGAACCTGGGAGGCAGAGGTTGTAGTGAGCCAAGATCACACCATTGCACTCCAGCCTGGGCAACAAGAGTGAAACTCCTCCTCAAAAAAAAAAGGAAAGAAAGAAAGAGAGAGAGAGAAAGAAAGACTAAAAACATTCCAAATTTTGGGAGTGATATGGACATCTAGGTTTATGAGGCTTAAAGGTCCCCAAACAGATTTAATGTAAGATGACTTCACTGAGACATATTATAATCCAGTTGTCAAAAATCAAAGTCAGAGGGGCTGAGAATGATGGCTCATGCCTGTAATTCCAGCACTTTAGGAGGCCAAGGTGGGAGAATCATTGAGCCCAGGAGTTTGAGACCAGCCTGTGCAACACAGTGGGACCCTGCCTGTACAAAAAATTTAAAATTAGCCAGGCATGGTGGCATCTACCTATAGTCCCAACTACTTGGGAGGCTGAGGTAGGAGGAACACTTGAGCCCAGAAGGTCAAGGCTGCAGTGAGCTCTGATTGTACCACTACACTCCAGCCTGGGTGAAGGAGACCCTGTCTCAAAAAGAAAAGAAAAGAAGAGGAAGAAGAATAAGAAGGAGAAGTACTGGAGGAAGAGGACGAGGAAGCAGCAGCAGATGAGAAGGAGGAAGAAATCATCAGAGGGAGAATTTTGAAAGCAAAAGCAAAGAAATTAATCAAATTACACAGGAACCCCTATTGGACTATCAGCAGATTTCTCAGCAGAAACCTTGCAGGCCAGGAGATAGTGGGATGAGATAGTCAAAGTGCTCAGAGAAATAAACTGCCAACCAAGAATACTTGACTCCAAAAAACATGTCCTTCAAACATGAAGAAGAGATAAAGAATTTCCCAGACAAACAAAAGCTGAGGGAGTTCATCACTATAATCTCTGCCTTACAAGAAATGCTAAATGGAGTTCTTCAAGCTGAAATGAAAGTATGGTCATTAGTAACATGAAAACATGAAAGTATAAAATTCACCAGTAAAGGTATATAGTCAGAATACTCTAGTAGTTTAATGGTGGAGTGCAAATCACCTTTAACTTTGGTACGAAGGTTAAAAGACAAGTGTATTAGAAATAACCATAGCTAAAATAATTTGTTAATGGATGCACAATATAAAAAGAAGTGAATTGTGTCATCAAAAACTTAAAATGGCAGGTGGGGAGTAAAAGTATAGTTTTTGTATGCAATTGAATTCAAGTTGTTATCAGCTTAAAATTCTCTAGTTTCATGCAAGTGTGTGTGTGAGTGAGTGTGTGTGTGTGTGTGTGTGTGTGAGACAGAGTCTGGCTCTGTTGCCCAGGCTAGAGTGCAGTGGCATGATCTTGGCTCACTGCAAACTCTGCCTCCCAGGCTCAAGCGATCTTCTCATCTCAGCCTCCCAAGTAGCTGGGACTACAGGCGTGCACCATCATGCCCAGCTAATTTTTTTTTTTTTGGTAAAGACATGGTTTTGCCATGTTTCCCAGGCTGGTCTTGAACTCCTGAGCTCAAGTGATCCACCCTCCTTGGCCTCCCAAAGTGCTGAGACAACAGGCATGAGCCTCTGTGCCCAGGCTGATATGATATACTTTGGATGTTTGTCTCCTCCAAATCTCATGTTGAAATTTGATCCTCAATTTTGGAGGTGAGGATCTCACAGGAGCACAGGCCAGGCATGGTGGCTCATGCCTATAATCCCAGTACTCCGGGAGGCTGACGTGGGAGGATCACTTGAGCCCCAGAGTTTGAGACCAGCCTGGGTAACACAGGGAGACTTCATCTCTACAAAAATAAATAAATAAATAAAAATTAGGCAGGGGCCAGGCATGGTGGCTCATACCTATAATCTCAGCACTTTGGGAGGCCGAGGCAGGGAGATCACTTGAGGTCAGGAGTTTGAGACCAGCCTGGCCAACATGGTGAAACCCCATCTCTACTAAAAATACAAAAATATTAAGCTGGGTGTGGTGGTGAGTGCCTGTAGTCTCAGCTGCTCAGGAGGCTGAGGAATAATTGCTTGAAGCAAGGAAGCGGAGTTTGCAGTGAGCTCAGATTTCACCACTGAACTCTACCCCGGGTGACAGGGTGAGACTCCAACTCAAAAAAAAAAAAAGCCAGGCATGGTAGTATATACAGGTTGTCCAGCTACTTGGGAGGCTGAGGCTGGAGGATTACCTAAGCCCAGGAGTTGGAGGCTGCAGTGAGCTGTGATCATGCCATTGCACTCCGGCCTAGGTGACAGAGAGAGACCTTGTCTCAACCTCCCCCTACCTCACAACCTCAGTTTAAAGTCCTCTTCTTGGCTGTGCAAAGTTGATTCAGTGATGCAGCCTCCCTGAGCATGTTCTCACCTGTAAAATGGAGATGATAATCTTCTGAGTCAGTGAAGGAGAGGTAAGATGTGAGATAAGGGATGAAAAACACTAGTTTCAGGCTTAGTCCCAGCAGATGCTCAACAATGGGATCTATCAATTCAGTGGCATGCTGGAACTGGCCCAGACAGGCCCATGGAAGCCATGAGAAGGAGACTACATCTCAATAAAAAAATAAATAAATAGAGAGATCGATCCAAGATGGCCGACCACTAACAGCTCAGGATTGTAGCTCCCAGTGAAAGCCCAGAGAACGAGACGACGCCACACTTTTAGATGAATTTTCATCACTCACCGATCAGCCGATTCCCAGTGGAGGAGCCCCACGGGTCGCCAGCGCGACTCTTGTGGCCACTGCAGCGGTTTTGCCGGCATCTCGGTGCAGCAGCTCTTCATGCAGAGCCAACGGGACTGCTTCCCCTACTGACCCGAGTTTGGAGCTCCGGGAAGTCAGAGCCGCTTGTTGCGGACTCAAGAGGGAAGCCAGACCAGAGATTCCCAGGCAGAAGAGCACCATCAGTCTTATCGCTGCTATTTAGGCTGCCACAGTGGGTTGCTCGGATCCCAGCACTGGGAATCAATAAGTTGGACGTCGACTCAGAAACCTAATTAGAAAGGCGGTTCATCTACAATGAAGGGAAATAAACAGCCTAAGAAGGCCGAGTATACTCAAAATCAGAACCCATCAGCAATGGAACAAGCCCTGATGGAAAAGGACTCATCAGTAACGGAACAAGCCCTGATGGAAAAGGACTGTGTTCCATTATCTGAAGTAGGCTTTAACAGGTGGATGATAAGAAACTTCTGGGAGTTAAAGGAACTTGTTCTAACCCAATGTAAAGAAACTAAGAACTTGGAAAAAAGGTTAGATGAAACGTTGAAAAGAATAGACAATACAGAGAGGAATACAAATGAACTTATGGAGTTGAAAAATACAACACGAGAACTTAGTGAAATATGTACAAGCTTAAACAGCCAAATGGATCAAGCAGAAGAAAGGGTATCAGAGGTCGAAGATCAACTTAATGAAACAAAATGACAAGACAAGAATAGAGAAAAAAGGATAAAAAGGAATGAGCAAAGTCTCCAAGCAATATGGGACTATGTGAAAAGACCTAATATACGCTTGATTGGTGTACCTGAATGTGACGGAGAGAATGAATTCAAGCTGGAAAATACTCTCCAGGACATTATCCAGGAAAATCTTCCTAATTTAGCAAAGCAGGACACTATTCAACCCCAGGCAATACAGAGAACACCACAAAGATATTCCTCAAGAAGACCAACCCCAAGGCACATAATCGTTAGATTCACCAAGATCGAAACGAAGGAGAAAATATTAAGGGCAGCCAGAGAGAAAGATCAAGTTACCCATAAAGGGAAGCCTATTAGGCTTACAGCAGATCTCTCAACGGAAACCCTACAAGCTAGAAGAGAGTGGGGGCCAATATTCAATATACTTAATCAACAGAACTTTCAGCCCAGAATTTCATATCCTGCCAATTTAAGCTTTACATTTGAAGGAAAAATAAAATCTTTTAGGAACAAGCAAGTACTCAGAGATTTTATTACTACCAGGCCTGCTTTACAAGAACTTCTAAAAGAAGCATTATACACAGAAAGGAACAACCAGTATGACCCTTTCTAAAAATACACCAAAAAGTAAAGAGCATTAACATAGAGAATAATTTTTATCAACGAAAGGACAAAATAGCCAGTTAATATCAAATGGCAGCAACCCTAAATTTAAATCGACCAAATCTCCCAATCAAAAAATACAGACAAAATCTAACGGTATATCCAAAGATATACATAGACTCAAAATAAAGGGTTAGAAAAAAAAAAACGTACCAACCAAATGGAGAGCAAAAATAAATAAATAAAAAGCAGGAGTTGCAATTTTCACATTTGACAAAATAGATTTCAAAGCTACAAGGATACAAGGGTAAAAGGATTAATGTAATAATAAGAGATCTTAACACCCAGATACATAAGACCCATAATGAGATTTAGATTCAACGAGACAGAAAATTGATAACGATATCCGGGGCTGGAACTTAAATCTAGAACAAATAAACTCAATAGAGCTCTCCATTTTAAACACACAAAATATACATTATCCACAAAATCTAATGATATATCTAAAGATATACAAAGACTCAAAACAAGGGGATGGAAAAAAACTCACCAACCAAATGGAGAGCGAAAATAAATAAATAAAAAGCAGGAGTTGCAATTCTCACACTTAATAAAATAGATTTCAAAGCTACAAGGATGCAAGGGTAAAAGGATTAATGCAACAATAAGAGATCTTAACACCCAGATACATAAGACACATAATGAGATTTAGATTCAATGAGACAACAAATTGATAATGATATCCAGGACTTGAATTCAGAGCCAGAACAAATAAACACAATAGAGGCCTCCATTTTAAACACATAAAATATGCATTAACCACTTTAAACACTCAAAATATTGATCGGCCATTCTTGAAACCCATTTTAGGAATGAAATAATATTCCTTTTTCCCTCTTTTTCTTTTTTTTTCCCCCTTCTTTTTCTCTTTTTCCCTAAAAAAAAAAAAAAAGAAAGAAAGAGAAAAGAAACCTCACAGGTAACATAAAATCTGGGCTGCAAAAATAAATAAATAAGCAAAGACTAAATTAGGAATCTTCTGAGCCAGATTGTTTTGTTTTGTTTTGTTTGAGATGGAGTCTTGTTCTGTCGCTCAGGCTGGAGTGCAATGGCGCAATCTCGGCTCACTGCAACCTCCACCTCCTGGGTTCAAGCAATTCTGCATCAGCCTCCCAAGTAGCTGGGACTACAGGTGTGCACCACCACACCTGGCTAATTTTTGTATTTTTAGTACAGACAGGGTTTCACCATGTTGACCAGCCTGGTCTCGAACTACTGACCTCAGATGATCGGCTCTCCTCAGCCTCCCAAACTGCTGGGATTACAGGGGTCAGCCACCATGCGGGCCACAGCCAGATGTTTGTTAAACACTTACTTACCAGACATATCAGGTTATCATCATTACTGAAAGTGATAACTCATTTGCTCTGGGCAAACACAATGCACATCCATTTGCCTATTTTTACTACTGTGACTGCTCATTTGAGTCAGAACCTGCCAGTTCAACAAAATGGCTACTTGGTTTCCCCACCCCAGCCCCCATGATCAGAGGCCATGAGCCTCACTGAGAGTTCTGTCTCACAATCTTGCATAAGGGGACCCAACTCAGTCAAAATGCTCCACTGGACACATTTCTCAATGCCGCCACTCACATACCCTTAGAAAAAGGAAGCCTGTCCCTTGCCTCCTCTAAGCAGTAGCTGTGTCAGCAGTTCCAGGGTGCACAGAAGTTTTCAAGAGTCGCCCTCATTGTGAGATGGTGAGTTTGTCACACATGAGCTGGTTTCTTACCTGGGTTTGTCTCTGCATGGGAGTCGGCATCCTGTCGCTCTTCTTGACACTGAGGCTGCTACATCCAGTAATGCTCAGGGCAAACACGTCTGTGGGGACACCTCACCCACCCCCACTGCCAAGTCTCCACCCTGGCCCCTGGCCCCTACCAGGACCCTCTCCCACACCATGAGGGTCCTCTGGTGGGCCCTGTGGGAGTGACACAGGGCAGTGAGAAGATTCTGGCTTTTGGACAGCCTCGTCAGCTTCCCTGGAAAAGGAATGGTTGCCTAAAGATGATGCACAGGTCTCTCCCTTGTGGGCTGACAAGAAAGAGGAAGTGGTCAGGATAGGGCTCAAACTGTCTCTAGCGGTGGATGAGGTCCTGTGAATGAGGAATGCCTCTCACCAGCTGTGCCTGAGCCACAGCACTCCGGCCACTGCTGTCTCTGCAGCTGCTCACATCTGGAAACCTTCACAGTTCAGGTTAGCGTCTTGGCTTTCCAAGGGAAAGCTTCCTGCTTTCTTCACGGCAGACATCTGCCAGTGCTGGCATCAGGGCACGTGTCCATGGGAGCCACTTCATGGGCACAGGGCCGGGGGATTGCAGCCTGGAGCCCCGGTACAACCGCTGGGTGGGGTTGGAGAAAAACTTGCGTTAAAGAATCTACTCTGCCGGTAACTGGCTGAGTGACCGGAGGCATCACTTCACCTCTCTGGGCCTTTTCCTCACGTATATGTTGGGGCGATGAAGAAGTCTACCTCTCGGGTTGAAATGAGATAATGACTGGGAGTGAGCAGTGTAAACTGTAATGAGTTATTCTCATTCTCTAGATGCTGAGAGTGTGTTTTTGGACTTGATGTGAGAAGGCTCTCATGGTGCTATGCTGTAGATAGGGGTGGGATCGAAGCACTAACTGTATAAATTTATTTTAATTAATTAATTAATTGATTTGAGATGGAGTCTTGCTTTGTCACCTAGGCTGGAGTGCAAGGCTGAATCTCAGCTCACTGCAGCCTCTGCCTCCCAGGTTCAAGTGATTCTCCTGTCTCAGCCTCTAGAATAGCTGGGACTACAGGCATGTGCCACCACACCTGGCTAATTTCTGTGTTTTTAGTAGAGATAAAGTTTCGCCATGTTGCCAGGCTGGTCTCAAACTCCTGCCTGACCACAGGTGATCCATCTGCCTCAGCCTCCCAAAGTGCTGGGATTACAGTGGTGTGAATTTAGACTACATCTTAGGTCTCTTAGATGAAAGACATGGAACATCACTAGTCTTGGTACCTTTGTCATTGCATCTCTGGCTTTCAGCAGTTCACTAGGCACCTTCCCTTCCAGAGGCCTCAAGATCAAAGTGTGTTGGTTGGCGTGAGTTCTTGGTGGAGCCATCTACTTTTGCCCTCTGGAAAATTATTTCGAGAAGAGATGTGGGTTTGGCTTTGCCATATCCACTCCCACTGCCCTATGTATCCACTTGTCCTTGAGGTCTTGGCCATGAAGCAATGCAGAGCGCAGGCTTCACTCTGCTTCAATAAGTCACTACTGAGAGGCTTAAAGCAGGGAAGGGAAGGGACAGGCTCACACTGGTATTTGGCAGCCAGTGGGGAGCCAGATGGCAGCTGGGGACCAGCAAAAATGGAATGGTCCAGATACAGACATGACAAGGACTTGGATGAAATTTGGAGGCTGACTGGCTGAAGTGGGTGGGGATGGGGCCATAGGAGAAAGAGGAGTGAGGCAAGGCTTCCCATCTTTCCCAGAAATGAAAAGATAGAGAGGGGGAGAAGAGGGGCTAGACTCCTTTTAATTACCCTGCCCTGTACTTCCCTGTGTACACTTGGGTTTTAAGTTGCCAGTGACTATCCACATGGCCATTTCTGATGCTGTCATCAGCGAGAAGGATGAGTGGGGCCGGGCACAGTGGCTCAATACCTGTAATCCCAGCACTTTGGGAGGTCAAGGTGGGTGAATCGCTTGAGGTCAGGAGTTCCAGACCAGCCTGGCCAACATGGTGAAACCCCATCTCTACTAAAAATACAGAAAAATTAGCTGGGAATGGTGGTACGTGCCTGTAATCCCAGCTACTCAGGAGGCTGAGGCAGGAGAATCGCTTGAACCGTGAGGTAGAGGTTGCAGTGAGCCGAATCGCACCACTGCACTCTAGCCTGGGTGACAGAGTAAGACTCCATCTCAAAAAAAAAAAAAGAAGAAGAAGAAGAAGAAGAAGAAGAAGAAGGACGAGTGGGAACAAGAGCTCACTGAGCATGAAGCATGAATAGCAACGATCAGGAAATCTGGAAACTAGAGGTGAACTGGGGCAAGAACTGCTCATGCCAACCAACCTAAATATTCTCTACAGCCTCTCAGACCCTTGAGATCTAGGCTGAGATCAGCTCAAACCCTCATTCCAGGCCTGCTGAAGTCCAAAGGGCCCCAGGACTTCTGTGGACTCCCTAGGAGGCCACCTCTTTTTCCACAGTCAGCGTCAGACTGCAGCCTCTGTGGGTAAAACTGTTTATACTGCACTGACCCAGGGGTGAAACTACACGCCTTTCTTAGTTCCCCAGACCGCCAGAATACATGTGCTCACAAAAGCACTGGCAGATGCAGCAGGCTTTACTAAAGACTAAGGAGGGGGCAGCCAGAGGGGGTTACAACACATCAGTGCAAACAGCTGCACACAGAACATAAAATGTCTTTGCCACCCCATCTCTGAGCACTTTCCATCAGTTTCTTCTCTTGATACCAAATGAAGCCCATTCTGCTCATCACACAGTAAGCCAATCACTGAGATGACCAGTTTTGCAGCAGCTAATGGGTTTATTCATGAGGCAGCCAAGTGAGGAGGCAAGAAAACAGGTCTCAAATCCACTTCCTCAAAGATGGGGTTTAGAGGCATTGATAGAACAAAGCAGTAGGTGGCCTAAGGTGTGGGGAAGGTGATTGGAGGCAAGAAAAAGTAGGAAATCAGCGATCAGTGCAAGCCTAGTCAAGCCTCGTGGTTTCTTCATAGGATGCAGGTTCACAAAATGGTGGCACTAGCAGGATCGAGGATGGAGTTCGTGGTGTTCTGACATCAAAGATTACCTACTGGACACCCATACAGAGCAAGTTGAAGGATTGAACTGGATAATAGCTGACCCCAAGTTCCTGAAAAACATCTCTTTTTTTTTGAGATGGAGTTCCACTCTCGTCACCCAGGCTGGAGTGCAATGGCATGATCTCGGCTCACTGTAACCTCTGCCTCCCAGGTTCAAACAATTCTCCTGCCTCAGCCTCCTGAGTAGCTGGGATTACAGGTGCCCACCACTATACCCAGCTAATTTTTGTATTTTTAGTAGAGACGGGGTTTCACCATGTTGGCCAGGCTGGTCTCGAACTCCTGACCTCAGGTGATCCATCTGTCTTGGCCTCCCAAAATGCTGGGATTACAGGTGTGAGCCACCATGCCTGGCCCCTGAAAAACAACTTAACCATTACTATGATGACCTATACATCAGAGATGTTATCTGTAAAGAAGCCAGTGGAAATCCAGTTAAACATTGCTTAGCTACATGACTTTTAGCTCTACAGGTTTGGTTTGGTTTTGTTTAAGACAAGGTCTTACTCTATAACCCAGGCTAGAGTGCATTGGTGGTGATCACAGCTCACTGCAGCCTCAGTCTCCTAGAGTCAAGCCATCCTCCCACCTCCGCCTCCTGAGTATCTGGGACTACAGGCACGCGCTGCCACATGTGGCTATTTTTTTTTCTTTTTCTTTTTTTTTTTTTTTTTGAGTTGGAGTTTTGCTCTTGTTGCCCAGGCTGGAGTGTAGCAGCACGATCTTGGCTCACTGAAACCTCTGCCTCCCAGGTTCAAGTGATTCTCCTGCCTCAGCCTCCCAAGTAGCTGAGATTACAGGCACGCACCACCATGCCTGGCTAATTTTGTATTTTTAGTAGAGACAGGGTTTCTCCATGTTGGTCAGGCTGGTCTTGAACTGCTAACTTCAGGTGGTCCACCTGCCTTGGCCTACCACAGTGCTGGGATTACAGGCATTGAGTCACTGTGCCTGGCTTTCCCCCCTACCCCATTTTTAGTAGAGACAGGGTCTTGCCATGTTTCCTATGCTGGTCTTCAACTCCTGGGCTCAAGTAATCCTCCAGCCTCGACTTCCCACAGTGCTAGGATTACAGGCATGAGCCGTTGCCCCCAGCAGCTATATAGGTTTTGAGATCAACTAGAAGCAAGTGACTAAAATCAGGTAAGGTAGGTTAAGTTCTGCAAGGCTAATCTAGCCCTCGGGTTCACTCCTACCTTTGCAACACCCTGCTGGCTCCCCTTCTTCTCATACTTCCATCCCTTCTTCTCATCTTTCCATCCCTTCTTCTCATCCTTCCATCCCTTTTTCTCATCACCTTCTCTCCTGGAACTCCAAATTCTCCCCTTCTATAACCCAGAGGAATTCAACATTCCCCAGTTCCTACCAGCAAACTTATTCCTAGCCTAGCCAGCTTTGCAGATCTGAAGATGCTCTGCAGGGAGAATAGGGGATTCTCCTTGTCAGCGGCTGCCCTTCTTAGAGGACACTGGCAACTGTAAATAGAACTTTGTTGGTTTGCCCTTAATAATGCCTCATACTTGGTGATATTTTGCACACAGAGCTGTTTTGTATGCATCATCTCTTGGAAGCTTTTCAGAAGACTTCAAGGAGGTAGATGAGATATTAAGGGTCTTGTTCCAAGTGCAACAGCTAGTGCCCAGCCAAGTGGGAACAAACAGGAAACCTATTACCCCTGGCCAGGTGCAGTGGCTCACGCCTGTAATCCCAGCACTTTGGGAAGCTGGGGCGGAGGATCACTTGGGGCCAGAAGTTTGAGAACAGCCTAGGCAACATTTTTTTGTCTCTACAACATTTTTTTGCCTCTACATAAAGAGAAAAGAAAAGAAACTTGTTCCCTTGATAGCCAGCCTAGGGGCCCTTCAGTGTTTCATTTATGTGAAAACGTGTATACCTTTCATAATGTAAACTATATTTCTTGCTGAAGATCTTTTTTTAAAACTGCTAAATAGGCAGGAAGCAGCAGCTCATGCCTGTACCCCAGCAGTTTGGAAGGCCTAGGTGGGTGGATCACCTGAGGTCAGGAGTTTGAGACCAGCCTGATCAATATGGTGAAACCCCATCTCTACTAAAAATACAAAATTAGCCAGGTGTGGAGGCTTGGGACTGTAGTCTCAGCTACTAGGGAGGCTGAGACAGGAGAATTGCTTTAACCTGGGAGATGGAGGTTGCAGTGAGCTGAGATCGTGCCACTGCACTCCAGCCTAGGTGACAGAGCGAGACTCCATCTAAAAAAAAAAAAGCTAAATAAACCCACAGTCTCAGAAATTCCTGGGGAAGGAATGTGATTTATGTCCCTGATTCCCTATAAAGGCCCTTTGGAGAAGTGAAAATGAAACTGATGTGGTGACTACCTTCAGCGGCTCTCTCACCCATCTGCTTTCT